TTAGTAACAACGTCTTTTGACAAAGTGCAGTCTCTTACCTGCACTGGGTCAACATGATGGACTATGGCCTAAAAAATTTCCTACTTAGAGGATACTCGCGCTCTCAGTGTGACGCACAATCGGTTGATAAAATAAATAAATTTAAATTAAATTTGCTTAAATTACTGTAAATGTAAGATGGAAGTATTATGATAGAGCACATATTTTCCTCATAAGGAAAATTTATACTTAAAATGAAAAATGATCATGAGTTGAAACATTTCCAGGCCTTTCAAAAATATTAACGTTTATTACTCAAATATCACGCCCGTGAATGACTATGAAACCAGATGATTCTAGTAATGAAAACAGACTCTTTAGGATGTAAAGTGAAATTTATTACAGTTGAAGAAAGAGGGTTAAAACGAGGGAACAAAAGTTACTAATAATAAAAAGTAAACGTATACTGAAAAGGAATTGTATAACATAATATGAAAAAGGTATGTTGTTCTCAGTGCTTGTCTCTCGCTGAGGTAGACAGAGTCCTTGCCTATGCGATTAAGTTTGTTAATTGTACAATACATCCATAACTACACTTACTATCAGATTCCATAGTTTCGTATTGCGTTCTGAGCTTCCTTGGGACTCCTTCCTACACAAGCCCTTTCAATTGTATTATGCGTATATATTCTCTCTCAAATTATGCACCATATTTGGGTAATAATAATAGTCATTATTATTAGTAATATTTAAACTTCAATTACAAGTAAAGTGCTATTGGATTTTTCTGGTAAAGGCCCACATTGCCCATTCTGTCTGCTTTGTGTGACAGCTTCGCGATAATGTAGATAAAATTACACAGAGAAAATGGGAATAACCTTTACTTTAACAGATGCGGCTCCGTCCCGACGAAAGCATAAGACTCATATTAGGGTGTGATAAATGGGTTGACACAATACTGACAATGGCCCAGAGAGGGATCCTTGGAGAACACCCGTGATTAGCAAGTTAACTTAGGCCTATTATCCACAAAAACCGGTAGGCGAAATGGTATCGTGGTTGCGTATGCTTTGAAGCTTGTGCGGTAGACGCGGAGAATTCATTTCGGGATGTTGAAACTTAGCTTTTTAGAAATAAAATATACTCAATTACTTATTAACTGCCTCCGTGGCCGAACAGTTACCATGCCGGGCTGCCACACAGAGGTCCCAGGTTCAATTCCCGGGCCGGGAGAAATATTTGTATGGACTGCATTTATTTCTCTCGTGAGTTTGGGTGTAATTTGTTGCTATCTATGTGTGTGTCCATGGCACCCGTGACATAGGGTTTCCCCAGTGCGGGGCTATGTTGAATGTGTGCGTTAAAATTATTATTATTGTAATACATGTTTTTAATCCCTGGCATATTTCGTTTCGGAATACTGGAGAGAAAATTTCATCGAAATATTTCTACTAACAATCGAATGTAACTGATTTTTTCGTAGATACTCATAATAAAAAATTATAATATAATAACTTTTTTTCGCGGGTAGGCGTGATATAAGTTAAACAAACCCTTTTGCTAAAAATTTTGTTTTTGTTAAAAATAAATTACATTACAAGATTTTATACAGTGTAAATATATGATATTTTATTGTTTAGTAACCAACATATTATGTGGGCACTGCTCATATATCTGGATTCAGGAAATTTAGTGCACTAACCTGTCAACGCCAGCTGTTCTCTACACTCATTACTACACATATCTATATTTTGGCACTCCTGCATTCACTTCACCACTATGGCCACTATTATTAAGGTTCTGGAGGTTCAGAAAACCTTGAAGGAGTCACTTATGAAGCGTATTGCTGACTTTGAGACGCTCTTAAAATGTTCATCGCCTGCATCGTCTCCTGCTATTGATCTCATGGAGCCAGCCGGACAGTTTTCTCAGTTTAAGGATATGGTCGGAGGAATATTGAAAATACTTCGGCAGCAAATTGCAGTCTTAATGAGGAGTGTTGATGCAATTGAGACAAGGCATCGCAGGAAGTGTGTTGTCTTCAATAGTGTGGAGGATTGAAATCACGCATAATAAGCTTGGTCTCACAAAGCTTTCTAATTTGGACATCACAAGCTGTTATAGATTGGGAGCAGCATCAAAACTGGCCGTGGGCGCCAGTTTCGGTTAGATTTGCTGATCTGTCCACTAAAGCAGAAATTTGGAGCAACAAAACCAAGCTGAAGAGGTCGCCTGTGGCTATGGCCGAATTCCTGACTCGTCATCGGCAGGAGGTGTTTGTGGCTGAGCGCCGTCATTTTGGTTTCCGGAGGGTATGGATGGAAAACTGAACCGTGTGTTTGATAACCCGGATCTCAATAAGCTGATTGATCGGTATCCGACAGCTATTCAAAGTAACAAGACTACGGCAACGGGGACAGTGTCAGAGAAGCCTGCAGCGCTGCCTGCAGCACACAAGCCGGCGAGTATTAGACCTAAGCGTGTAGTGAGGAAATAAGGATTGACATCATATTCGCAGTTAGAACTCTGAACTTTGTTTCGTTGCCTTGTCGTGATTTCCGTGATGTAGATACGGTACTTGAAGGAGGTATAACGCATTTATTTTGTATTTTTCTTTCCACTTACTTTATACTACTGCTGTTGAGGGTATAACATTAACTTCCAGTTTTAATAGTTTTTCTTTTTTTTTTGGGTAATTTTGTTGTTTTTATCTAGACAACGACATTGACAGTTGTCAAAATTGACAAGGAATGTTTCGTTAATATCTTAGAGGATGGAAAAAAATCTTAGAGGATGGAAAAAAATAAACATAGTCTAAGAAAAAAATAAATAAGTAGTCTAAGATTCATACAGCCACATCACTTTTTTCGTTTCTTTTTCTCTTTCTCTTTTGTCATGATAAGTTTTTCGGCTAGTGCCTCATGCACTTTTTTTGTTTTTATAATAGTTCTGTTATATCTGTTAACTTCCATTTTTATAACTTTGTACTGTATTATTTTATTAGTCTCTCGGCAATTGTAACGGTTGGCTGGCGGGTTGTACACAATTATTTTACATTTAATTCTTTTATAATTTAGGCACATTATTATAATGATTATTATTTAAACTATTTTATATAATTTATATATTTATTTTTGGTATACTGTATAAATATGTCAGATTTAGACAATTTTAAGATTTTCTATCATGTGCAAGCTCCGGTTCCTTTGTTTCATTGAATCACTCGGAGATGGAGGTTGAGGCATTGAGGGTCGAGCTCTCCAATATCTTTGGTACTGCGTTTCCAAATTTTAATGTATGCCATATACATGCCCAAAGCATACCTGGTGGTGACTACCACACAGTCTTGCTCGATACTTTTTCCTTGGACTCTTTACTGCGGTGCTTGTTTCTGGAAGCTTAAAGCTTTAGTTATGTTTTGGTGCGCAATGACCGTCTTGTGAAGAGAAGTGGTGGTGTAGCCATCTATCTTCGCATTTCCATTCCTTTCAAGACTCTCTCGTCATCGGACCAAAATCAATATGGCATCGAATACCTTTTCTTAGAGATTTTGTGGTTTTCTGGGGTTAAAGCGGTTCTTGGAGTTGTTTATTGTCCTCTTGCTGCCGATTTTATCACTTCTCTTACTTCTGTGTTAGACCCGCTCGCATCAAACTACACACATTAAAATCACCCATGATTATATATGGGTGATTTCAACACTGACCTCCTTAAAGACTCTCTCGCGTCCCGTAATTTTCGATCTACCATTGAGTCGTTCTCATTATCTATACTTGAGCTTAATGCTATTCATCACAACTTTGAATCCAAGGACTCATGGATTGCTCATGCTATTGTCTCCTCTCCTGACCTTGTAGTAAAGCACGGTCAGGCTCCTGCCCCAGGTTTTTCCCGCCATGATTTGATTTTTGTGATGTACAAAAGTAAACCTCACAAACGTTCTCTAGAAACTAGGGTCTACCAATAGTAGACGCATCGTGAGCAAGTGGGCGCTGCCATAACCCCAGGCCAATCAATATTGGTCCGTGGTTATGGCAGCGCCCACTGTAGACGGCAAGCTTACAACATTCGGCACCTTATTAAGCTTTTACGATAAGCATTCACCATTACGCTCAGTGAAACTGAAAAAAACACCTGCGCCCTGGATCACTCCTTTGGTGCGTATAATAATGAGGAGGCGCGACAGTTTAAACGTTGTAGGTCTGAGGAAAACTGGGCTACTTTCAAGGCTCATAGAAATTGTTGTAACCAGATGGTGAGAGCTGCAAAGCTTCATTATTTTCATGACAACTTTCGCCACTCTTCTCCAGCTAACACTTGGAAATTTTTGGAGTCTATTTCATGTATCATTCTACCGCTTAGTTAGGCCTCAGAATGACGCTTCACCTCATCCTTTCACTCTTGACGATGTCAATCGGCATTTCTCGGCTAGTGTCAGCACTCAACGGGCAGGCAAAGCGGATGCTCTCAAAGATATTCCTTCCTTGTGCCGCCAACCATCTGAAAGTTTAATCTTTTCTTTGGTGTCGGAGTCCGATATTCGCAAAACAATAATGTCTTTAAAGTCTAAAGCTGTTGGATGTGATGACATTAGTCGCCAAATGATAATCTTTTGTTTAGATAGTGCTGTGCTCATTATTACTCATATTATCAACTCATGCCTCTCATCTGGTACGTTCCCTAACCATTGGCGCAAGGCGTATGTGTTGCCTCTTCCTATAATTAATAACCCCACAACCCTTAAGCCCTTAAACAGTTCAGGTCAATTTCTATATTACTCTTCCTTTCAAAAATTCTTGAAGCAATTAATTGTTCATCACCAACTATCATCTTTCCTTTTTAGAAATAATATCCTCGACCAGCACCAGTCTAGTTTTCGGCCTGGCCACCACGTATAAGTACCACGACAGCGTTACTGAAAGTTACAGAATACATTCGGGAGGGCATGGAGGATTAACGGTTAACGGTTAATACCGTCAGAAAAATCAATGAGGACTAATGTCCTCATTGATTTTTCTAACGCATTCAATGCTGTTGCCCATGATATCCTTCTTGCTATCCTTCTTATCTGCGAAGCTCTCCCCCGAAACTGGACTGGATTTCTTCATATCTTTGAGGGCGCAAGCAAGCGGTTCGTGCTAAATACTCCTTGTCTAATTGGTCAGACCTCGAGGCAGGTGTCCCCCAGAGTGGAATTCTTTCCCCTCTATTGTTCTCCGTTTTCATCAATTTAATTTCTCCTATCCTCCACAATTTTCACCATCTGTATGCAGATGATCTGCAAATATATGCGCAGGCCAAGCTTAACTACCTGGATGATGCGATATTAGCGCTTAATGAAGATCTGCGGCGTATCGCTGATTGTTCGAGTAAGTTTGGCATCAGTGTCAAGCCAAGTAATTGCCAAGGTATTGTTGTGGGTAGTTCTTATGCTTTGACTAGGTTGGACCTGAGCTCTGTCGCGCCTTTTTCTTATAATGATACACTTATTGTATTTGCGCCTCATGTTGTGAATCTGGAACTACACATTGATAGTACTTTAAGCTGGAAACCTCGGATTGACTGCATTAGTCAGAAGATCATTGGTACCTTAAAATCGTTCTACCAATTCAAACACTTTCTTCTCATCTCAACAAAAATCTTCTTAGTACAGGCCACTATTTTTCCTATCCTTCATTATGCTGATATCACCCAGGAACTTCTCAACAAATTGAATCGCTTGCTCAATAGTTGCATCCGATTTATTTTTGCACTTCGAAAGTTTGATCACGTGTCTTCATGTCGCAATGAGCTGAAGTGGCTTACGATTCGCCAGAGTCGTGATTTGAGAATACTTTCCACTCTTTACTCTATCATTAATGATAAATGTGCACCTGGATATTTGAAATGTAAATTTCAATATTTGGGTGCATCCCATAATCGCAATCTTCGCTCAGACAGCAAATTGACTCTTTTAATTCCTTCTCACCGTACTGGTTTTCTTTGTAAATCATTTACTCTTCAGGCAATACGACTCTGGAACGCTCTACCGCCCCATATTCAAAAAGCGCCGAATAAACTAGCTTTCAAGCAATTTATTATATATTTATATAAAAGTCCGCAATTTCATATTGAAGTCTCAATCTACATCCTATAGTCTGACACTGTGATATATAAGTATGTATATTAAATATATATGTGTATGTATTATATATTATGCATTTATGTGTATATAGGTTGCTTATACAAGTATATTTAGTCATATAATATTATGTGCTATATTTATATTGTTTTTAAACTATACATCATAATTATTTATAAACTTCTTCCTATCTGTTTTAATTATTATGTTATGCGCCCCTGTTAATTATTTTGAACCCAGCTCTCCGGTTGACTGGTAGAGAATGCCTAATGGCATTAAGTCCGCCCTTTGTACTATTTTATGTGCAATTAAGTTTAAATTTAAAATTTAGCGGAACTTTTTGATTTTGTTTTTATTGAGCGAAGTTTATTAATGGTGTTTCAAGCCCCATAGTTCATTATCGTTAGTTTCTGTTTTCATTATCATTTAAAACACCGACTTATTCCGTGTTTTATATAGATAACTTTTCTTTTTTCTGTAGGCAGAGACTACGAAGCTATTGCCTGCAACCTTGGTACATATCTTTCTTTACTCTGCATTAGCTTTATTTGTCTACCCTTTAGCTATTATGCTGGACTCTGAAATTAAGTCAAGTTTGTGTCTGGTTTAATCGCCCACAGTATCGCCTACGCCAATCGATTTCTAATCTATTCCCGGATCCGAAACGGCGACTACGACTTTCTCTTAAAATTTTGAATGTCATTGACAACGATGAAGGATGTGTTGAATTTTTTTCCCTATAATTAACGTATTTCTAACCGACTTTAAAAAGGAGAACGTTCTTAATTCGTCTGTGTTTTTTTTTCGCGTATGTTACGCTAGGGTTACGATTAGGTCAACATTTGTGAACCGATGAATTGTTTTTTCTTTTGTTGGTAAAGGAACAGTGGTGATCCTATTCAAGTTTGAAGTATTCCACCCATTGACTTACAAATAAATGGACGACGGGTCTAATACAAAAACCACGAAAAAAATGTCCCAAGTCAACCTATTCGAAATTTAAATTGTAATGTCATCGCAGTATCGCGCTGTCAGTCGAACAAATGAAGACTAAAGCGGAGTTTGGCGCTCTGTATACGATTTTAGCGCCTTACAAGTGCGGACACTTTTTAGCGCGGACCCGACGTCCATATAATTGTAAGTCAATGATTCCACCTCTAAGAATGGCAAATTAGGTAATATATTGGGCTTATTGAATTCACCCATACGCCGTTAACCGATTTCAATAAAACTTGACACGTCGATATAATTCCATTCAAAATAAAACAGCAAAAATGGATATGCATTTTGAGGTCGGTGTCTTCAATAAAACTGATGTTTTAACTCGATTTTTAATGTGGTTGAAATGCGTTAAAACGTATAAACGTTTCACGCCACCTTAACCAACCAATAGAATTGAATTGAATTGAAAACCAATGTCTCGTATTTACTTATGAAAATAACAGAAATTGTTGGTTGTTTAAGTACGTACAAGTACTTTTAACTGCTTTGATGTATAATAAGCCTTTTCGCTTAAAAGTAACGCTTATAGCGTCTGTGTTCGATCACACTATTTTTAATCTATCTTTATAAATGGCTCCGGAGGTGTTTTGTTAAATATTCATGAGGTAGGTATCCAGCAGAACCTTTTAGTAACTTTGTGGGTTGTGGTCATAACAAAGTTTTATGAGGCTATTAGACGAATTGGCTAGTGAGTTGTCATTTGTTTTTAAGCTGAGAAAAGATCAACATTTGTGATAACTTTGTGTTGTACTTTACAATGTTGTACCATTACGCATTATTTATTAACCGACTTCTAAAAAGGGAGATGTTCTAAATTCGACTGTAATTTTTTTGTGTGTTCGTTACGCGATTACTCCGGTATTTGTGAACCAATTTTGATGATTATTTTTGTTTGAAAGAGGGTACCTCAGTATTGGTCCCATTTCAATTTGAAGAAAATATTCCACCTCTAACGGTGGCCAAATAGGGGTTGAATCCGGTTTCGCGATTTTCCGGTAACAAATTTTAGTAAAACTTGGCAAATAGATGTAATTTCATCTATTTGCACGGTTTGTTTTATAAAAATGTTATAATTATTTATGTCAAATAAAAAAATGTTATCCTTAATGATGTCAAGTGACGAAACGAACAAGTCTTATCTTTTCAACCGACTTAAAAAAAGAGGAGGTTCTCAATTCGACTGTATTCTTTTAAATGTTACGCAATTTTTCCTTGTGAATCGATTTCGATGATTCTTTTTTGTTGGAAAGGTAGTATCTCAGTAGTGGTCCTATTCAAATTTGAAGAAATAATTTCTATTCAGATTCAGATTAATTTATTTTTCAAATATAATATTACAGTATAAATTGCACTACATGTCAAAGTATAATATATTATACTGAGATCGTCAAACAAAAATTAAAATCAAAAATGAAAAATACACAATAATTGTAATATTAACAATTCATTCACAATAATATTGTTCGAGTTCTTAAGTTTTCGCGATTGTTACACATAGGAAATGAAACCATTTTACCGGGTTTAAATCGCGTATATTTATTTTTTCAAACAAATCAACGTTTCAAGCCCTTTACAGGTCACGGTTGACTGATAATATTCTTGTCATTAAATTACGTATTCAAAATAGAGGAAATAGAACAAAAGTATTTGACTCATTATTGTTTATTGTCATTCTAACTCATTATTGTACTACTACTGGACGTCTTCCACTTCCTACTGATAGATTTTAATAAAACTTTTGCCAAGTTTTATTAAAATAGATGTAATTCCAGACAACTTTCGAGGTCTTTTTTCTTTATAAAAAAGTTTTCATTATTTACTTTTCAATATATTTTTTTTATAATATCAAGTTTCGGAGCGAAAAAGTCGTGCGCCTCATGGGAAGCCACACGCCTGTTCATAATAGCATAATAGTTGAAGTGCCACTCAGAGCTTTAAATCGCAAAGATCTGAAGGGCACTGCCACTGCGCCCGGTACCCTAAGACATAAGTTGATAAGTCCCATGTGCCTGTCTGTGCTTGTGCTGATATTACTGCTCGGCGGCAGAAATAGGTAAGATGGGATTACTTCCCTAGACGAACTCTTTCACTCCTTGTGAAGCTCTACTGCTACCAATAAATAAAAAATTTCCTGAAGTTAACGCACACACACAACGCACACAATCAACATAGCACTAGGGAAACCCTGTGTCGCGGGTGCCATGGACACACATATATACAACCACAAATTACACCTAAACCCAAGAGAGAAATAAACGTAGGCCATTCAAATGTTTGTCCCGGCCCAGGAATCGAACCTAAGACCTGTGCGTGGCAGTCCGGCATGGTAACCGTTTGGCCACTGAGGCAGTTGTCCTAGTCATAGATTAAAAAGTGTTTCTAAAATCTAATTTCGAAAAATCATAATGTGATTATAATAATAATCCGTGTCACGGTCAACTAATTGAAGTCACATTAGAAAAGACAACTTTTGGGGTTAAAATTGTCACATTCAGTGTAACAGTGTAACATTTTTTCAGTTGGGTATATAAATTTATTTGTTTGTCTAGCGACAACTCACCCCACAGACCACAGTGTCTCACCCACATTAATATAAAATGAAAAAAAAAGAAAATACAAGCACTTTGCTATCTAACTAAATATAAACAGCATATGTGTGTTGCAACAAACCAAGTAGGACAGTGTGTATTTCGCTTAAAAGAAAAGCACAGATTTTCTATTCTTACTTTTCATGACAGTAGCTCTTGCTACTTTGCTGCGTAGACAAAGGCATCTTTTGCTTTTGTAAGTTAATGTGAGTTAACATTAAATTCCATTTACATTGTGTACCACGTATTGCTATACTTTAATTTGTTTTAAATGAATGATATTTTAGATAAATGTATAGGAGAAATATCTCTAATATTTATTAAAGAGAAAAGTGCTTTATGAAAATCATTATTTCTTTAGTAAATTATTTGGTGTTTGTATATTACTTTTGTACAC